ATAAGGTCAGCGCCAACAATTTTCTCCATTCGAAGCTTGCCTTCGACTGTTGTTCTGACCTTAAATGGATTTGTTTTGGGTTTAGAACGTTCAAGCTCACATCTGATTGCAGCGTCTAGGGAATACTGCATAGTCAAAAGTTACGAGCACTTTGGACTTTTGAGCTTATACGAAAGACTAAAGTGGTTTGCCTCACGATAAAAAGCAAGTGGTGTTAAAGAGGAATGCGAACTTACCACTGGTGGTCCTTGCTTCTTTTTCTCATAGTCGATTATGGTTTCAGTGCGTCGAGTGCCTACCGGCGACAGTACTTTCTCTTGATGTTGCGGCACCGGTGGCGGCGGCAACGCCTGTCGATGCGATGAATATGGAGACGTTGGAACAGGAGCACGTGGCCGTTGGAGTGCGGAATATGGAGACGTTGGAGCAGCAATCTGCTGCCGATGTGGGGCATACGGCGACCCAATCGGAGATTCTCCCAAACTGCCATTCGTGTAGTTGGCACAGCGGCGTCACTGGGACGACGCGGTTGTGAACCCAGAGCATAGGCCTGAAGAAGTGAGGTTTAGATGGAGAAGCACAGCATTTCACAGTTGACTGAGTGTCGTTTTCTTAATGGAAGCCAAGAATATCGCTTAAAGGCAGTTGGCACGATGGTTTTTCTTAGCTTAGGCTCTAATAAGTGCTAGTAGGGCCGGCTGTATAAGTGGGGAAGTTCGCGAAAGAAGCCGGAAGTGAAAACGGTCGCAAATCCGACAATGAAAAGCCTCCGTTCTGCAGTGACTTGTAAATCGATTTCGGACGAGTTTCCCGTACACACCTTGCCAATCACCGCTACCGAAGATACGGCTGCATATGTGTACCCATATATGCATGCAGCATCACCGCCGCTTCATACCAATCCCTTTGCTTCATAATTTGCTCAGCAAATGAATGAATACGAGCGTCAGAAACGGTCGTCCGTTTGTGGGCGGGCGGGCAAGGAAGGCGTTTGGGACGTAAAGTTGTTGCTCAATAGGGCGTTATAGAGGTACCCTCCTTGGAAAAGGTTTCACGCAGCGCCTGTCCGAGGTCACCGGGAATTCTGCTGAGGGCCAGTTGCACAAATCCTACACCTGTATAGCGATTTATCGTGCCAATTGCCTTTAAGTGTTATGAACAGCACTGTATGTATTGTAGTTAGCAAGGAAAGGCGCAAGAAGGGATGATGTCATACACACCGTACAGTGTTAAACATGCGTAAGCAGCTGTTTTCTAAAGGTGAAAGGAAGAAAAGGACTGGAAGATAGCTGGCCGGCATGTTGTGGGAACTTGAGCCAGGTTTAGGGCAACTCTCGCTCCCGATCTCTGACGCACCTACGCTACATTGATTGTCTCTGCTCTGGCTGACGCATTCCGCCTAACGGTTATCTTCTAGCTTTCTCGGCAGTGGACTCGCGATCAATAGCCGCTCCCACGACTAAGAGAAGTTCCTCTCTACGCTCAGATATGGGCTGCAGAAAAAGGTTGTATTTTGCGTAGTTATATTTTGGAGATCTCTCTTCCACGCAACTGGATTCTTGTTAGAGGACCAAAAGACTACGACAAAGAACAGGCCCAACTATCAAAATAAAGTGCGCCGCTCACACAGCTTCTAACTCCGTTCTGGTCGTACACAGTGAACACTTCTTAGGCTAGTGTTTCTTCGCTTGAAACATGACTTTACTCATTAGCTGATGCGAGTTCTGGAGCAGATTCCAGTACCACTACAGTAAGAGCAAGGGTTGGTTGTGTTGTTATATTCTATGCACCCATATTTTATTTTAACTTATTGAAAAGAGATATTCCAACAGTGTAAGTAGTTACCTGCCGTTCATCGATGTACTCATCCCTCGATTCTCGCAATTGCATTTCGTTACGACGAATTGCCTGTGGTGATAAACCCTTCGCTCGCAGACGACTTGAATCGGGTACGCCATTGACTTGAAGTCGAGCGTCCAGAATCTCGTCGTCAGATTCCACACCCCAAGTGTAGACGTTCGCAACACGTAGACGACCGCCATCCTGCAAAACTCGTGTTACTACCAGTTACGGAGATAAACTGCTTCCTTTTCTCCGATTACACGTACTTAGGGTATCGTGAAATAAAGCTGCACCTACCTTTGTCCGAATCACTTTATTTACAGAACTAGTGGACGCTGCTTTTGGCAAGTAATCGGCGGCCGGGTTGACCCTGAAATAAAACAACTCATGAGAACAGAGCTCGTGTACGGTGCTTTTGAACAAGTAGTCTACAACAGTTCTAGGTACTGTATTATTTAGGACTAATTTTCGACAGGACTTACATATAAATTTGGGTTCGAGAGCAAAGGGAACTTGGGGCTTAGATTCTGCTCGGAAGGGGGGGGGGTCCTTTTTTGTGCTTCGTAAACTAGAGCTTCAAGTTGGATAAGAAGAAGGATAGATAGGAGCACTTCCAGGCTGCACCCACAGAGCCCATGTCCATGGTCTTTGGAGAGAGTGTGTCCGCGGACTTGGTTGAGAACCCAACGGCGGCAGTTACCTATCAGGTAGAATGTTACATAATTGGAACAGAGGTGGAGAACCGCGAAGTTCTGCGCATTCTCATAAACACGCTGATTACCTCTCGCCCCTGGACCAAAAACATTTCAGAGATAGGAGATTGTGCTTACAATCGGGTCCGTAGACACGCCCTCTGCGGATTCCATGACATGAGTTGGTTATGGTTTCGGTATCATTCTAACGACTTTAAAAAGGGCACGGTCACGATAGAGCTTGGATTAAAAGGCAATGATATCAGCCATTCTGTTCAAAAGTGCCAGCGACTTCGGCAAATCTAGGCGTGGCTGATGCCATCTCACTGGCAATAACCATCATTTTCTCGCTCATACTATACTGCCAATATAGTGGTTCCACAAAGCAGGTACAGATGTTACGTTTCGCCGCAGATATAGGGGCGTAGTTCCTGCGGCTGCATTTGGCGCGCGCGAAACCCATTCTTTACCAGTTGTCGAAGGAGGTGGTGGCAACAACTGGTGGAAAAGGACTGTTACTTCAATATGATACAGTCTTGTCGATTGCCGCAAGAAAAAATGAAAAAAAAACGGGCTGGCGACCAAATGCAGCCGCGCGGACACGCCCCATTCCTCGCGGCGAAAAAGACTGTAAGTGCCGTCGTGCGTGAGATTAAGCGTGCTAATTCTTCAATGCTGATTAATAAAGCTGCTTAACGTAGCGGGCTTTACACGCATTCGAGTTCATGGATGTCGCAGGAGCGCCATTAGCGAGTTCCCCTGAGAGGATGCTTCACCCTCTCAGTGGAACTCTATTCGCTGCGTGGCAGAAGAGATGGTAGCTGATAGATCTTAGTTATTCGAAAAGTGGGTAATTATTACTTTAATCCTACCCGAGAATCTATACGGCATAGGGGCCAGGCATATAAAGGGAATTTTTTTTTTCCGCAGAACGACCTCCGTCAATCTCATCTAACGACGCGACCCCTAAGCACCAGTCCCGGCAGAGATGGGGTAGGGTGTTCACAATGCCGTTAAAGTACCGAAAACTGTAAAACTCCGCTCCGCCGATTACAGTAATCTGAAACGGGGAAAATCAACAGTCGAACCTTCATATACGATTCCCTTCCCCGGCTCAAATACGAACTCCGCGGTTTTCGGAAGTCATGCCTCAGCTCTGATGGCAGCTCTGATGGGTCTTTGTTAGCCTTCAAAAGGATAAAGTCTTCGCCGTTGATCAATCCCTTTGTGGGATGCGGCACGCATTCTACTTCCATTCAGAATCGTAGTGGCTTATTGAATGCGATGCCCTATACAATGACTTGCGAGGGCCAGCCCATGTACAAGCAGGGCACATCATTGGTTGGGGAATTTTGATCGAGTCCGTACGACCCCCTTTCTTGAGGATTGGTACGCTGGTACTCCCCTCCCCCCTCCGGCCCTCTGTTCCTCCTCATCGAATCGAGCCGTCGAGGGGGAGGGGGTATATAGTACGCATGAAACAGGAAAATCACGAAAAGTCAACCACCACTCCTAGAAAGGCCAGAAAGTAAATACGACCCCCCCCCCCTTTACAACGTCCGTGAAGCGAGAAAAATCAACTATCAAAATAAATTTTTCTCAGCCCAAATACGACCCCCCTCTCCTGGCGACCAAATACGACCCTCCCCCTGTTGGAGATTCCCCAACAACGATGAGCCCTGTGTACAAGTCAGTGATCTCATCCTCCCAGACAAAACTGGTGCCGCTTCACCGTTCCCGAGGGTAGAAGGCTTGGTTGGACTAGGCGGTAGCCGATCCGGGACATGTTAGCCATATAAAGGAATATAGCTCACCTCCTTGACGAAGTGAACGATACAGCAGCACCTGCGTCGGGCTCAGAGGTGAGCCGGAGCAGGTCAAGAGTTGCTTCATCCAGCTGCGTAAGGGACTGTTGTGTGCTTCGAGAACCGGGTCCCCGTGGATTGCCAGAAGCTGAAAAGCAC